TTTTTTTTGTTTTCATTAATACAACCACTAGTACAGAATTGCAGTACTAAATTTTAAAATTTTTTTTTTTTTTTTTTTTCATTGTAGTCACCATGGCAATATCCTAGGGAATCCTAGGATTTGATATCTTGAGGGGGGGGGGGCGGCATTGAGAGTTTTAATCTCTGATTCCTCTGATCAAACTGCCAATCCCAGGATTCCATGTAAGCAGCTCCATGTCCCCATTGGGGAGATGGTGATGGGGTATAAATAAAGATTATTATTATTATTATTAGGAACGTCTTGAGGTTGAGAAAAGGTAAAATTTGAACCAGGGATTTCCCTGTTTGTGACTCAGTTTCTTAGCCGCTCCATGCCATCAGACACTCTTGGGCAGCTGCCATGTCCAGTGTTGAGGGGAAACAGCCAGCTCAAAGCTGGCTGTCCTGAAGAATCCTGTTTAAAGGTTTAATGCCTTTCTCAAGACAATTTTCTTCGATGTCCCTGGGAACATTTATTGTCTGCCGAACAGACCAGCCTGCATTGACCAGAAAGCGTCACATACTGAGACATGTACACTATTTCTCAAATTCAACATGAATGCGTAGGTTGGCGGCTATTGGCTGCTTAGATCAGCTTCAGACCAGCCCTGCATTGAAATCAAAAAGTAGAGCAGCCCGTTGTGTGCCTCTGCCTCTCCCAGCCTTTGGTACCGTGCCATCTTGGAGCCGACAGCATCCAAAGCTCAGCATACAAACAGCCAGTGTGTGCATGTAGAGATAGAGATGCCCCTGGGTATACTTTGGTGGCATTTGCACAGCTCAGGATGGTGGTGGGTACATTGGCGCACACTCTTGGGGTTTGCAGAAAGGAAAACCCTTTGCACAAAGCACTTAATATGCATCTGTGTGAGGAAGAAAGCATCCCCACAGTATGCCGATATTTGTATACAGAAAATGTGTGCGATACACCCAATCCACACCCTGATGCAGAGCAGAACCACTTTCCGCGTGTGCTCGTGCACACTGGCACTCATACAGCGCCGCCCCCTCACGCCTCCCCCCTCCTCCCTCGCACTCCCCCTCCCTCCTTCTCTCTCTCTCTTCCCCCTCCATTCCAGTCCTCCTCTTCCTCCAGAAGGGAAGAAGCTTTGCCACAGACCGTCCCCTTCTCCCCTCTTTTTTCCTTCAGTGGGGTGGCGGAAAAAGGGCTTCAGCAGCAGCAGCATTATACCTAAACAGCAACCCCCTTCCCCAAACTTGCCATCATGACCCCCCTGGGGGATGATGTCTGAGTCCCTGTGGACAGCGCTCTCCAATTTCTCTATGCCCGATTTCCTTGACAGCAGCATGTTTCGCCGCACAAAAAGGTACAGAGAAAGGAAGCTTTCGGCCTCCGTTCCTCCATCTTCTTTCCCTTCTCCATCCCTCTGTGGCCCCTCCCTGCTCCCCCTCTTCCATTCCTCCATCCTCACCTCTTCGCCCATCACTTCTTTCCCTGACTCACCTCCATCACCTCCTCCCCCAATCACCCCCTTGCCCACTCAAACATATTTGTTCTTCCTTTATGCCAGAAATAGGTGTGAAGAAAGAGATCAGGCTATTTTATGCCTGCAGGGATGGGAAGGGTGTGATCTCCCTCCTTCTTCTATCCTTTTTCTTTCTCTTTTCATGACCAGGCAGCTAAAACCATCCCTGGGGAAGTGGCGTCTTGGGGGTGGGGTGGGGTTGCAGTGGCTTATGGCGCAGTTGCAGGGAGGGGAAGAAAGATTCACATAGGGTAGGGTGCCATGGTAACTGCCACTGGTACACAGATGTATATGAATTGGCAACACTGCCTATTGATAAATGGTCTTTCTCTCCTACCTCCCCTCCTGCAGCGCTCTGGTTGGTCCATCCATCTGTCTCTCTTCCTAGCTAATGTCCCCTTTCTACTGTCTCACCTGATCTCCCTTGACCGGTTTGTGGCTGCTGGACTTTTAGAGGGACAAACAGATAGTGGGAGAGAGAAAGGCTGGATGGAAATTGGGAGTGAGGGATGCAGCAGTCAAATGGGGATGGATGGGAGGGAAGTGAGCCTTGGAGATGGGGAAGATGCCTAGCCAGAACGGCTCGGTGGTGAATGGTGGGCGAGTTGTGGCAGGATGCACACACAATTTATATTTTCTGATTGTTTTTATGGCATTGAAATTGTATTTTATGATCTTGGTACCAACTGTACACCGTCCCAAGTTGCCTGTGGGCTGAGAGGGACGGTATATGAATATCTATATAAATATAAATGTAATGTTCCAACAGACCTCACCTCTGAGGATGCTTGCCATAGATGCAGGCGAAACGTCAGGAGAAAAATTGCCTCCAGAACATGGCCATATAGCCCGGAAAAACCTACAACAACCCAATGTAATGTTCCTTTTTTCGGGTTAACATAACTCAAAAACCACTGGACGAATTGACACCACATTTGGACACAAGACACCTAACAACCCAATGTATGTCCTTCACTTAGCAGCAGGATGTATTTTCATTCACTCACCCAAATTTGACACAAATACCTGATACGCTCCAATTTGAATACGGGTGAGGTTGGAGGGGGGATTGATTTTGTGATTTGGGAGTTGTAGTTGCTGGTATTTATAGTTAACCTACAATCAAAGAGCATTCTGAACTCCACCAATGATGGAATTGAACCAAACGTCACACACAGGACTCCCATGACCAACAGAAAACACTAGAAGGGTTTGGTGGGCATTGACCTTGAGTTTGGGAGTTGGAGTTCACGTACACCCAGAGAGCACTGTGGAGTCAAACAATGATGGATCTGGACCAAACTTGGCACAAATATTCCATGTGCCCAAATATGAACACAGATGGAGTTTGGGGCAAATAGACCTTGACATTTGGGATTTGTAGTTACTGGGATTTATAGTTTACCTACAATCAAAGAGCATTCTGAACCCCACCAATGATGGAATTGGGGCAAGCTTTCCACACAGAACCCCCATGACCAATAGAAAATACTTAAGGCAATCCAGTCCAACTCTCTTCACCAGGGCAAGAAAACATAATCAAAGCCCTCCTGACAAAGAACCATCCAGCCATATAGATATATATATATATATATGATTCACACACAGAGAGATAGAGTATCACAGATTTGAAAGGGATCCCTAAAGAAGAACATATTCCAGAGTAGGCAAACCAGACAATCTCCACATCAAACAACAAGAAACAACAAGAAATACTGTTTACCCACAAGCGTAAAGATATTACATATATTAGAAACCAACACTTTAAATAAATAAATAAATAAATATTAGTCTGAACTCTATAATGATGGAAATTTGGGCTTGCCAATTTGGAAAACTATGCAGATTGAAGGGTATGATGTGGGATAAATGGAACAGGGCAGGTAGAGAAAAAGGGTGAAATTTTGGCATTGCATTTGGATTTCCTGGTGATCCTCGTAGATGTGAGTTTTACATCAAGCACCTGTGTCTTAATTCTCATAGCTGGCACCTCGGGATTAGAAATGGGTTCCAACCCTGAATGCAAATCCATATTTGGAAATTTTAGGATGATGGCATTTGGCATTTGTCATAGCATTTGATAAGTGAATATGTACTCAACCTGTTGTTAAGCTCTCCTCCCTCAAATGACCTCCATTCCCATAACACCAAAATGCACGCTGGTTCTCTTTGCGCTTTCCTTTCCTGAATGGCTGGCTGCAGCTGCAGAGGTCTGTTTTCCGATCTACACACGATCATAAAGAATATAGCTAAAGTTTGTGGCAAAGCTGACAGTTAAATTTAATCCCCCTGCTGTGCTGGTTTACCAGAAGTGGATTTTTCTTCCCAGACCAGATCTGTTTGAGGATTAGCTGTGTGTCAAACAACAGTGTTTCATCCAGTCCATAGTGTGTAGTTGTTACGGGAAGGATGATATTCAGACTCATAACTCCATAGAAGGATGAGCAGGAGGGATGGACATAAAGGGGACATGTGGAGATTTGAATGTGTATCCAGGCAAATGCAGTGTGGAGAAGACCCAGGGTGTGTTGTCATAGTAGAACAATGGTGCATGAATTCATAGGTGGCTTACGATAATTCTTGCATTGAAATGCATTGTGAGAAGGCTTCTTGGTGTGTGTATGTTTACAGCAAGCTCTGTCCCAGCACCAAATTGCTGGAAGAGTCTTAAACCATATTCCTAGCAAAATAAGTACAGATTCGAACTGTAAAGCAGGGAGCCTAGGGAACATCTTCTGCACGATTGCTCCACCTATTGGAAAGATACATTCCCAAACTGAGGAATAACCTTATGGAAGAAGATCCCACATTTATGGGTTGTCGGAGACAGACATTTATTCTCCATTATTTTATCTCTCCCTTTCTCTAAAGAGTTCTGAGTGGAATATATGAGGATCGTCCTATTTTATTCTCCAGTAGCTCTGTAAGGGAGGATAAGCTGACAGATAAGCATGTTGCCCAAGGTCACTCGGGGTGGGGTGGTGATTTGTAGATGGATGAAGATATCTGTGCATTTATTTATGTGGGTGTGTGTTAGGGATTTGGATCCTTCCAAAAAACAGATCTCACTTGTTTGTGAGTATTTGACATAGTTTTCTATTATGTGTGCAAAAAGAATCTGGGGCTTTTTGCTAGAGGGGGAAATCCTAGAAGGCAGGTTCAGGATTCCCTTCATGGCTTGCCACATTAATATTCTGTAAAATGCATGAGATAGACATAGTCTAAAAACTCTAAAGGTATCAGATCCTGGCTGACCTTCAAAACAAATCAAAGGTCAGCTCTGATTATTATGTTGTTGATAACAATAATATATAATAATATAAATAATAATAATAATAATAATAATAATAATAATAATAATAAAGATCTGCATAGTTAAAGCAATGGTATTCCTCGTAGTCACCTATGGATGTGAGAGCTGGAGCTTAGGGAAGGCTAAGTGAAAGAAGATAGATGCTTTTGAGCTGTGGTGTTGGAAGAAATTCTGAGAGTGCCTTGGACCGCCAGAAGATCCAACCAGTCCATACTTCAGGAAATAAAGCCTGACTGTTCATTGGAGGGAAGGATATTAGAGGCAAAGATGAAGTACTTTGGCCACATCATGAGAAGAAAGGAAAGCTTAGAGAAGACAATGATGCTGGGGAAAATGGAAGGAAAAAGGAAGAGGGGCTGACCAAGGGCAAGATGGAGGGATGGCATCCTTGAAGTGACTGGCTTGACTCTGAAGGAGCTGGGGGAGGTGACGGCCAACAGGGAGCTCTGGCGTGGGCTGGTCCATGAGGTCACGAAGTGTCGGAAACGACTGAATGAATGAACAACAACAACAATAATATTTGAGTGATTTGAGAACCTGTAAGTTGCTTCTGGTGTGAGAGGATTGGCCGTCTGCAGAGACATTGTCCAGGGGACACCCGGATGTGTTACCATCCTGTGGGAGGCTTCTCTCGTGTCCCCTGGGGCTGACAGACAGGAGCTCATCCAGTCTCACGGATTTGAATGCTGAGCTTCAGGTCAGCACTTCAGCCGGCACAAGGGTTTAATCCATTGCACTACCGCGGCTCATAATAATAATAATAATAATAATAATAATAATAATAATAATAATCAAAATTGAAGGAAAAGTTGATAAGGAGAAGACCTGGTTATGGCTCACGAATGGAACACTGAAGAAGGAGACAGAAGGGCTGATTCTTGCAAGCCATCAGAACCAATGTCATTAAGGTCAGGATTGAAAAATCAGCTGATGACCCAAAATGCAGACCGTGCAAGGAAGCTGATGAAACCATGGATCATATCCTCAGCTGCCGCAAGAAAATCATATAAACAGACTACAAACAGAGGCACAACTCTGTGGCCCAAATGATTCATTGGAACTTATGTCACAAAAACCACCTAAGATCTAGTGGGATCATAACCCTGCAAAGGTAGTGGAAAATGAACATGCAAAAATACTGTGGGACTTTTGAATCCAGACTGACAAAGTTTTG